GTGATGTCAAGTGGTTCAACGCTCAAACGACACCCATCTGGCCCGAGGGAGAGACGGGACAATCTGCTCACACTCACACATGCATCACATGCCGGACGACTAACCGTTGTTCAATGTTTGAGATTTTTGAAAATTTCAAGAACATTTTCCTTTACTTGTATATTATTGACTGAGAATTTAGTTCTGGTATTTAATATCTGTTAATACAGTAAATCGTAGGAATCAACTCTAAAGTTTTAAAGGTTTTCTGCCAAGAAAAGTACAAACACTGTTTAAAATTGTACACAAATTTTACACTAATTTCTATAACTACACTTTTTCATGAAGGATGCTGTGGTAGATTAAAAAATGTCAACATAGTCAAACATGAGATAGATCTAGGAAGTATAAACTTTGAGTACATTAGTCACAACTAAATATCTACAGGATCCCAAAATGTTTATGACTTTTGGGGTTTATTGTACTGTTGGCATCTAGTTAACCAGATCAAAAACTCAAACCAATGCTTAAGTAACGTCCAATTGAAATCTAGTTATTTGATTCTGGATTGCATTATGTTGTTGCATGTTGTTCAAGTTCAGACTCACTTATATAAATGAAAGTATGTTTATTTCTGTTTCTGGGCTGCAATTGTTTTAACATGAAATTGAAAAGTTCAGATATTTCTTTGCAAAACTAGTGCTGAAGCAATTCATTGATTTAATCGTGATTAATCTGTCATGATCGTGGCGCTGATTTCTGGTCTGATTACTCATTTCATTAACCTGCCAATCTCCACCTGGTTCTCTTGAGCTACTGTTTAACCAGCCTTCAGACCAGCCATCAGGGCCAGACTAGTCGAGCCTGTGGTGAGTTTCTTCTAGCGAGTAATAATGATTTCTGATTGCCTGATCCAGACTCGTTCTGCTTCCGGACCTCTGAGCCTGCCTGTCCCCGTTATGATCCGTTTTCCTGCCTGCTTTCCTGACTTTATGACTCCTGCTGTATTTTTGTCTCTCTGTGAACCGAACCTGGAACTGTTTCACAGCGATGTTCTGGATTTCCCTTTAGCACCTGTTCAGATCTCTGACATCCTGGGCCTGACTACAGGGCACACCTTCGACACCAGCTTTGGCATCGCCCTCTGGATAATCCCGCTTTCCTTCTTCTGCTCGGTTCTGATCTCTTGCCTGTCCTCTGATCCCCGAGCCATCAGCATCTAGGACCCTCTGTGTGGCTCCCACTGGGTCTTGTTGACAGCCGACCAGCTTGAACCAACCTCATCCTCTGGGACTGGACTGAACTATAAGACCAGATTAGTGACTCACACATTCATTATCATCCTCCTCCAGATAGAAGTGGTCACTAACCTGTGTCCTCCTCCTGCAGAGGTTCCTGCCTTAAATGCAGATGCTGTTCACTCCAGTTCTGCTTCTAATAAACGTTTTTAGAAACCTGTTTGTCTGCCCTGAATACTGGGTCAAATTGTTCTGAGCTTGACATAATCAATTATTGAAATAATCTTCTACTAATTTAGTGATTGACTAACATTTAATTGGAGTATAGAGAGAGGAAAGTATGCCTTTAGCACACAGAGCAAGTACATTATCCAAAGTACATTCAGAAAAGGCTACAAGGTTATAGATGCTGACCTACTGAGGTGTCAGTCTGCTCATTAAACTATGTCATAAAAAATAAAAAGGCAATTTTAAAGGTCTTTTTCAGTAAAAATGTAACATTTTGTCCTGGAAAGCAGAATAGATCAACATCCCAGACGCACAAATCAAACAATATTTGACTGCCAGTATAATGGTCCTATCATATACATTATGTAACCAGATACTTCGCATCTAAGATGTTCAACATTTAGCTACTCAGTCCCCCAAATATTTCCCCGTACGGAAAAGTTATGTAAGCTTCAGAGACTTTGCCATAGAAAAGTATTTTTTCTCTTCTTTCTTTTCTATATCGCCTTAATTGCAGCTCATCTTCCTACAGGAACAAAAAATGTGAGCAGCGATAGCCTCTCGCTTGCTTACTCTTTATTTTACGATTGATTTGAAAGTTTGATGGCTGACTTATAAGCACTTAACAGACAGGGAAGCTGCATCTTTAAGAGTCCTCTTGATCCTATTTGTTCATAGCCATAATGGTGAATGGTCTGTATTTATAAAGCGCTTCATCAGGTCCGGGAACACCAAAGAGCTTTAGATTACATTCCATCATGGTGGCAAGCTACACTGTAGCCACAGCTGCCATGTGGAGGCTGGATCTAACAGGCATCTATGGGCTCTCTGCGGAATGTCGATGAAGAGCCTTGCCCCATGACTTGATAACTGAGATGGGAAAAGCTGGGGTTTAAACCGGCAACCCTCCAGTTGCAGTACAAATTCCTTTATTGAACACCACTCACCCTAATCTGAACCCGATGCCAAGTGGCCTCTACCATGGGCTTTACACTACCACTACACCCTGTACTCACTGGCTTTTAATACATTTTTAATACACAACATTTTTTAATGTTGCGGTTGTTTTAAAAGTACGGTCTTTTAATAAATTTGGACATCCCCCTTTAATCCTCCTTAGTTGTAGACTTTCATTGTTTTCTATGAACCTCAGGTCTCAAAGTTGCCGTAAATGTCAACGCACCAGCAAAACTTAATGTGTGGTTGATAACAAACAATCCTTTGCAGACAGCTTGACTTTCAGACCAGGAAAAATTATAACTAAAAATGTAAATAACTACATAAAAAACTGCAAAAAATATATTTTTCATTAAAATATTTTTGAAGTATTGTGGCCAACCCTTGGCCTTAGGCTGAAGCCTCTGTAAGACCTTTTTACAGTCTGCCACTGGTTACATTTACAACATGAAAGATATGCAGAACATTTCCTTAGACACTTAGGCCTGTTGGCCACTGTTAAACTCAAACTAAATTGCATTTCCCCCAATTTTAGTTCTAAAGAAAAGCTGGCATGTTAGGTTTTACTGCCAGGCGGCTTTAAATCTTTCAGAAGCCATGATCTGCATGCAGTTATTCAGGCCCAGAGGTATGTAATCCTCCAGTCCACACAATTAAAAAAAAGTTTAATAAAGCACATAAATCTGCTAAGAACGTTTTTATATCTCAGTGATCCCTCAACTAGTTCAAATGAAAACTGGTTTTCTTTGTGTGTCCTCAAAAGATTTCCAAGTTTTGAGGGAACAGGCCGGGAGTAGAGCCACATGACAACAGTAACATCTGGCTCCGGCTCCAAAGATGATTACTCTGCTGCACTCGGAGAACTCATCCTATAGGCCTGACTCTTCGGCTCTCTGTCTTTCCACACTGTTCAAACAAGTGCAGGCCGCTCAGCAGGCACACACACACACACACACACACACATAGTGATGCACAGATTGGCACAGCCAGATGGCCGAGTCTCCTCATCACCTAAACCACAATAAAAGAACTGTTAACATGTAAGGGTGTTTGTTTCCACAATAGAAATTTGGATGTAGCATAAATAAAATATAAACAGCGAAATAAAAAGTGCTCAAACCTTTATTAAAAGGTGTATACTGCTTCAGTTTTATATACTGCTTCAGTTTAAGCAGCAGCCAAACAACCCAGGACATGTTAGACAGAGTACCTTCCCACCCAATCAAAACTGAGCCTTGTGCACAATATTTTAAAGTAAACAACAACCTCAATGACTCCCCATTACTAAGAGGTAGACCTCTTCTTCCGGTTCAATTTGCATATTTTTTAAGCCATAACAAGACTTTGTCGGGCTACTCTATGAAACTTGGAACTCAAAGCTATTTCTGGCATTTTGAATTGAAAAAGCTTGCAGGATAGGAAGCGAAACGTCTTCAAACTTGGAAAACAAAGTCTAGTGGATTGTTTTGTGCCATTTGGCCTCGGCAGATGGCCGCTCACACTGACTCTGGTTCTGCTGGAGGTTTCTTCCTGTTATAAGGGAGTTTTTCCTCATCACTGTCACTGCAAGCATGCTTAGTTTGAGAGATTGCCTTCAAGTCAAAGAGTCGATGCAATCAACTGGTTTTCCTTAGATAGAAAACTTTGAATCAATTTGACTGTATGATCTGGTGAACTGTAAATGACGTGATGTGAATTGTTGCTATATAAATAAACTGAACTGAATTGTTTTTTAACTTTTTTGGAATGACTATGACCTGGATGAATCTTCACCAGCAGTATTTTTATGCAATTTTATACATTTCAGAGATACCATAATATATTAAAAAAAGTATTTATTTTCCATTTGTATCAGAATCTGAAATTCTTTAGTAACCCCTTGTGGGAAATGTGGAACTGTGGTGCTCATGATCATCAGAACTGGAACATAAGAGATCAGACATCTCAATGCAGAAGAATGTGGTCCTAAGAACAACTAAGATACTGCAAAGGACCCTCAAGATCTCAGATAAATGAGTTTATGTTGAGATGGATGGATGGATGGATGGATGGATGGATGGATGGATGGATGGATGGATGGATGGATGGATGGATGGATGGATGGATGGATGGATGGATGGATGGATGGATGGATGGATGGATGGATAGATAGATAGATAGATAGATAGATAGATAGATAGATAGATAGATAGATAGATAGATAGATAGATAGATAGATAGATAGATAGATAGATAGATAGATAGATAGATAGATAGATAGATAGATAGATAGATAGATAGATAGATAGATAGGGGGAAAATGTAAAAAGAATCTGCCACCATCACCACCTACCAGGTTACCCCTTAAAAGTTTTCCTAGAGCCACCCCTGCGTTTCAGCCTTCTTTTTTTTGGATGAGTATATCTATCTATCTATCTATCTATCTATCTATATATATATATATATATATATATATATATATATATATATATATATATATATATATATATATATATATATATATATATATACAATAATCAATTACAGTTTTTGTCTTTTTTATTTTATTTATTTATTTATTTATTTTTTTTATGGATTCCTTGTGTTTTGCCAGCATACCTGTACCAATCCAGTCCCCGTGCGTAATGCCGATCAAAGAAGTGCGGCTCGGACCCCAGGGCGCGGATGTCCGGGTGGAGCCGCAGGAACTCCAGCAGAGCCCTGGTGCCCCCTTTCTTAACCCCGATGATAAGAGCCTGGGGCAGCCTCCGCGCGGCTGTCCACTCTTTCCCCGAGCTGTTGCCCTCCAGCGCCGGGTGGCTGCTGCCCAGAGCATCGGTTCCGTTCCCCTCCTGCGCCCATCCCGACCCCCTCACCACGAAGTCCCGCGCAGACGGCTTGATGTCAGAGTTCTCCGTGAGCTCCGACTCGCAGCCTCCGGTGAGGAGGTAGACCAAGGAGAAGCAGAGGATGCTCAGAGAGGAGGCGATGGTGAGTCGGTGGAAAAGCCGGCGGAGGTCGGTGGTTGGAGGGTGGTGGTGTTGCTGGTTGAAGTAGTGGTGGTAAAAAGCTCCCATCCCTCGGCTGTTGTCGCCACATGGGTGGCCATTCTACCACAACTTCAGTTCACATCCCGGAGAGGCGTCCTGTCTGTGCGCTCAGCTCCTCTCCACCTCCTCCATGCTGTGCGTCTGGAGCGCACCGGAGCGCACCTCCTTCTTTCTGCCCACAGTCAGCTCCAGCAGAAAAACAGCCAGACTAGTTGCTGATTTGTTTTATTTTGTTTGGTTTTTTTGTTTGTTTGTTTTTTTTTGCTTTTACTGACTCGCTACAGTAGCCGAAGAGAGAGAAATAAAACCCTGATTTCTGTGTCTTTGCACTTCACGGGACCTCTCTGTCTAATCCCAGGAAGATCCTCATTCAGGGATCTCTCTCTCCCTCCCTCCTATGAGCTTTCATTCCCTTCCTCTCTCTCCACTCTTAGATATCTTTCATTGGGGGGGTCATGGCCCGAGGCGAGTTTAAGTCCATTATTATAAATCGGAGGATCCCGGAGCTGAATGAACCTGCTGCGCAAACAAGCTCAGATCTGTTATATAATGTAAGGGGCGTCCGGTGTTGTTACCATGTAATTACCATCTCATATTTTTATTGTTATTTTGTTAATTATTTATTTATTTTTTATTTTGGTTTTAAAGACTTAGGGAAAATGCTTTTTTTAAATGTGGCATCTCATCCATCGATTGTACCAAATCTCTGTAACTTGGGACATTTCTTTACGCACATGGAAAATGTTCAAAATAAAAAAAAGTTTTAAAAAGCTTCAGAGCAGGAAGCCTCCACCATCATTATGGTAGTTGTTGCGAAATAGCAAATACGGTGAACATTGGGTAAAATTTGCAATACATTACTGATATGTATTTTTTCATATGTATCATTAACCTTTTGACCTTTTGGTGTTTTGGTGATTCATTTACTTTATTATTCCAATTGAGCAATATGACATTATCAAAGTAAAGTTTTATGCAATTTAAAATAAAATCTTTGGATAATAAACCTAGATTCAGACACTACGACAAATGTTGCTTATTTGGCTGGAGCTGCTGAGCTGCATGGTGGTACACGAGGCGAGGGGAGCGGCAAAGTACTGCGACACAGACACAGATTTTGGTGAATCTGCTGCAGTCAGTGCACCTGGGAGAGAAAAAAAAGTATCAATATTTTTACATGAGTATTGGTCAACATCAATGCCAGTGTTGGTATTATCACTAACAGGATTGATCCTCCCACCTCTAGTCTAGTCTATTATAGCTCTGCATTGGTTCAAAAGCTGGTGTACACCCCCTTAAATTCACTGGGAAATCTGAGGATTTTTTACTTCAACAGCTTTCAAGCAATAGAATACTATATCGGCCTGCCTAGGGTCCACTTTTGCTTAAATGATTTTAGTTTCCTGTTCAAGAAACACATGTTTTTTTAAAACTCCTGTTTCATATTTGTGATCTGCATCCTTTTACTAAAAATTGACATGAATTAAGACATTTGTATCAATTTGATTAGAATCAGAATCAGACATACTTTAATAATCCCAGAGGGAAATTACAGAATAATCCCAGAGGGAAATTACAGTGCGTTGTATTACTGATGATATTTTGCAGTAAAACATGATTTGAAAAGTGATACATAGATGATGTTACCTACTTTCCAACATCAATCTAACTCAATCAATCTAACTTGGTGGCAGGAACCTCCACAGCATGATGCTGCCTCCAACGTATTTCAGACATGGGGAAACAGTTTTTAGGGGAATGCTCTGTGATACTTGCTGCAAATAGCATTTTGCATGCAAAAAAAGGTGATTTGAATAAAATGCCAATGAAAAAGCATGTTTAATTAAGATTTTCATTTGATATTGTAATTTTTGGTTCAAATTAAACAAATATATCAAAGGGGTATAGAATGATCTCATATCTGTGTCTCATTAAAGCCCATGTTTTAACGCTGTGTATGATAGATGACCACAGAAGTACCTACGTTCATGCGCCATTATTGGTTTAAGGTTATTAGTGTCATTTGGACGTGGGCTTAACGCATACAGCTGACACTTTGCACACTAAGACCATAGCATAATTGGCTTAGTAATCAGACAGTATTAGTCTCTGTAGTCCACCTGCCAACTGTACTCTAATCCTGACCTCAAACCACCCTCTGCATTGTCCCACATTAGGTAATCATTGAGAAAAGTCACCAAACAACATCACAAGAAATGATTCAACACATTCCTCTGTTGTGGTGAGAAAATTAATTCAAGTTGAGAAAGTTTTACTGACATTAATCCAGGTTTGCATATGATAAGTGTTTGCTTTAGCACCTGCATCAGGAGAGGAGCGTTGCAATACTCTGAGTGGGGAGCTCTGCAATGTTGCTTTTTATTATTGCAGAGTGTGGAGCTAAGGTACGGGTAATAGCTCATAGGAGACTCATTAGTTCTCCATCCCAGAGACACACACAGACACACACATACTCATTCTGCAGTCATAGTGAGGACCATGTGTTGACTCCCATTTTCAACCCTTTCCATGCCCTAACCCTAAACCTAACCATTACCAATGCATACCTTACCCTAACCCTAACCAACTGACACCTTAGCCCTAAACCTAACCATTAACAAAAAAGCATGTGAGGACAGGCAAAATGTCCCCACTTTGCAACAACTGGTCCTCAATTTGATGGTGAAACTGGAAAAATGGTCCTCACTCTGAGGGCTAGACAGGTACACACACACACACACACATATTTTATGTTCCATTTGGCCTACTGCTGTCATTATCCCAGAGCAGATGTGACCCATGCCGTAAAACCACTGCATTGTCCTGCAATGAGTAAACAGATCCGCCGCTCATTTCCTAAAAACATATAATGCTTTATGATATTTATCATCTCCTTCATCCTGTTTGCCGCTGCTCAGGCAGAAACAAATAGCTATCTCAAACGATGAGATCTCCTGGTAATGTGCCACATTTGCATAACGACGCAATCAATTTCTTGACAAGGAAACAGAATTTGCATCTTACAATCGTGCCTCTCATACCATAATAACTTAGAAGAGAGTCATCTTACGTGATCTGATGCAGAGTTCAAGATATGTGAAGGTTTAGATATGTCAGTGAAGCAGATTCTCTCGGATGAGCGTTGGATCTTTGGTGTTGGTCACTAAGTGTGGTCTAAAGATGATCCAATTCAATTATATTTAAAGGTGATTAATAGCAGCCCTTTTTTGCTGCTATTTCCAAAAAGAAATGAATATGTTTAGTGGTATTGTTGTTGAGGCTGTTGCTTACCACCTTTGGCTTATTTGATCAACTTTTGGTAGAAACGTCTTGTCCTGATTAACAGCTTTTAGAGTTATAGTCTGTTTATCTTCTGTGTCTTTTCTGTCTGCTGCACGCTCCTCAATAATATGATCAAATCTGCTTTAACATTAGAATCAGAATTCATTTGATTGTCATTGTGCAAAAGAAAAACAACCAAATGAAAAGACAGCACCTCTCAAGGGCAGTGCAAATAAATAAATAAATTGTGATCAAGGTTGCATTGCGTTGTTCAGGGCAACAAAACCTCTTTGGCAGAGACAGATTTCTAGGCTGTTAGTTCTTAACTTTATTGCCCTGGAACGCCTCTCTGAGGAGAGGAGTTTGAAGACGTGATGGCCGGGGTGGTTTGGCTGCCCTGTGGTGCTGTGGGCTGTCCTGTCGATCACCTCCAGAGATGAAAGAGAGCAGCCAATCAGTCTCTGGGCATCTTTATAACCCAAACTTTTTTTGTATGTTTTGTTCTCATAAAACTAACTGCAATGACAATGAGACATGTTGTTGACTAAAATATTAAAACATGCTAGAGTTAACCTAGCTGCTCTGCCTTACCTCGACAAAGAAGTGAACGTGAAGCTACATAGATCATGGTTCCTGCTCTTAATGGTCGTCTGAACACTTGGAAAAGGAGTACCATATTCTTTGCACTATAGGTTGCACTCTCAATGAATTGCCTATTTTTTGCATTTTTTCATATATAAGGTGCATAGAATAGAAGCTACAGTAGTGGCTGGGGTTGCGTTATGCATCTACTAGATGCAGCTGTGATGGGGGGAGAATGTCAATAAAGCAGTCAGATAAGTATGTCAAACTTTATTAATATATTACGGTATTTACAATATGACCAACCTTCTTCAGCTATAAACAAGCGCTGCCTCCCGTCTTGAAGAACATGTCTTCGCCTCATGTCAACCACAGCTTCCACGCAGTTCGCAGTCTAGCTTTGAATGCCCTGTTGACACCAATGTCTAGTGGCTTGATTTCTTTTGTCAATCCAACCTGAATTAGTGGTCTTTACTTGTTTTTTTTGACAGCATCAGTCAGATGAGACCGCATTGAGTCGTAGATTAATAGGGACCGGCACACCGGATTATAAGGTGCACTGTTGGCTTTTGAGAAAATGTAAGGCTTTTAGTTGCGTCGCATAGTGCAGAAAATACGGTAGCGGTTAAAACATTCCAATGCAAACGGTGGCACTCCATTGTAGAGCTGATTCCAACCAAAAATCGGATCAATTTACACAGAGTCCTCCACACTTATTAACATTCCTGGAGAAGAGGCGTAAAAAGCCTTAGAATAAGGAATTTTTCTTTACATTCAGCAGCAGATGGCTCACAATACAACTCTTAGAAAAAATCTTTTTATTTCTATAATTTTTATTAATCTCTAAAGAGCAGAAAAATCACAGATACATTTTTTGATTACCTTTATTTCATTAGTTTTTTTTTATTCATAAATGTACCTACTTTTCTGTTACTATTCCTAAATTGATCTGGAAAAACAGGGTGACACCATGGCTCTGAAGGCATTCTGATCAGGTCAATTCCAAAAGCTTGAATTAAGTGGAGGGGCAGAGTTTATGCAATATTTTTTTAGGAAACACTTTAAAACACACACCTGGTTCCTCATTGGGTGCTGTTTCCACATGGCTGAAGGAGGAGATGGGAACTCGGGTCCTGTGATTTAGAATTGAATTGGTGTTTAGCCTGGATTTGATGAAATCACTAATTACTTTGAACTTCTGCTGCAGTTTAAAAGCAGTAACTTCACTTTAACTTGATCCCTTTGACTTGACTTGATATCAGATAAAGAAAACGACAAAGAAAAATAGATTTAAAACAATGAAAGAGTTGAAAGTCCCTATCCAGTCTGCTGCACTCCCAACCCTCAGCGCCCCATTTCCTCTTAAAGCGTTCTCAACTTAGGCTGTATATACAATCCAGATTCTCATGTATATGTATAAATATATATATATATATATATATATATATATATATATATATATATATATATATATATATATATATATATATATATATATATATATATATATATATATATATATATATATATATATATATATATATA